CTGAAGGATGAAGAGAGCCGAGATGTGGTTTTAAATTGAGTTTTTGTAAATGATTATGAAAACTTAGTTTTGATATGTAAATTCAAGGAAATGAATGTAATAGAGTTGGTATGGACCTTGTGTAATATGAAAATCTTCATATGCATGTGTTGGATGGAAATAATATGTCTTGAAATGAATTGCAAATGAAAAATAGGTGAAATAAGCAAATCTGGACAAAACCTACCAGTAGATCGTTGTCTAGTGGGCAACACCTACCGGTAGGATCGCGTACCAGCAGAACTTTGTTTATCAGGCGAAATCAACCGGGTAGGACTTTTCCAATGGACAACACCTACCGGTAGGTTCTCCAAAAATTTGAAACTTTAAGACTGCTTTGCCATGTTTTTGGGCTTTGGATTCTTGGGTTCCAAGGATATAAATGGACATAAAATAAGGATAAATTGTGGTATATTGGACCTTGGCTGGTTCAAATGGTATAATATACATGGGTTACACATGTGGGTGATGATCCCGGTTAAGGGATGTTATTGATGTGATGTCGGGTTGTGCAAAAATCATGGGTACTTTCGCGCATTAACGAGTGGTCAACGGTTGAAAAAGGACCCTCGATTTCAGGGGCATCACATTATTGGAGGTTATCCAAAAAGTTTTCCCTAATACCCAGCATGCTTATTGCTTGCAAAATTTGAAGGCAAATTTGAAGGACAAATTTAGTGGTGGGCGTTTTTCAAACATATTCAGGAAGCATATTTTATTTTTGCTATGTGAATGCGTTTATGCACCGACAATATCTTTATTCAATGAGAAGACTAGTTCTTTAAGGAATGAAGGTGGCCCTAATGTTGACAGGTTTATGACAAATCTCCCGTATGAACATTATGCCAATTCTCACTTCCGAGGAAATCGTTGTGGTGAAATGTCGTCTAATGCAACCGAGTCTTTTAATGTTTAGATTACAAAAGCACAACATCTACCAATTACTAGCATGATTGACACTATAAGGGGATAGCTTATGAATCTGATGGGTGGTCGGATGAAGACATCGTCAAATTGGAATGGTAATTTATGTCCAAATATGGATGCAAAATTGTAGATTGCATTTGATAAAGGAAGGTCTTGGTCTATACATATTTCAAACAATAAAGTGTACGAAGTGAATTCACATCCTTTGGTATCTGTTGACATTCTAAATGGCACGTGCACATGTCATCAGTGGCAGATAATTGGGTTCCTTTGTTCACATGCGGTATCTACCATACGAAAGAGTGGCCAGAATATAAATGAATTTGTTGATTATTATATGAGCTCATACAGGAAGTCGTATACTGAACCGATCTTCCCAATCCCTACACTTGGACATCCAGATTTTTTGGGTGAACATTTCGATATATTGCCACCATCAACTAAAAAACAGCCTGGGCGACCAAGGAAGAAAAAAATAAGATTTAAGGGTGAACTAATTAGGCGTATTCGGTGTGGTTGGTGTGGCCGTTTTGGTAGTCACAATAAGAAAATATGTAATGAGGCATTATAATTCGTCAAATATTACATTTTGACAACACTGCTCATTGGTTTCTGATATTTTGGATTATTGTCTGTTTTTGTTTAATTTTAAGGTATTGTTATTATCAATTAATAAAAAAAACATAGTTTTCCTTTATGAGTTATTTTAGGCCATCCATTCAATTTATAAATGTTATAAAAATATTTAGTATCTCTATGTTCACAGGCTCACAAATATGATGTCACAATTTTTGAGGTGCAAAATAAGTAAGAATTACGATGTCACTTTACCTTGTCACTCTGTCACTATTTTGATGCATTTTTACAATGTCAGGTGTTGCCTATAGCACATAATATGTTGTACCAAATCCTATACAACATTAAATGCACAAAAAGAAATGAAAATAATATTAAACTAACCCACTCATAACATGAATGCAATGTACCCACTGCCCCTACACAAAACATGTGAATCCAACCCATAAAAATAATTAGAGTGACATCTCCATATAACAGCATAATATCACTCTTTGTCAGGTGCTTCTTGTAACACATCATATTTATGTTTCAAATCATTTACAGCATTAAATGAGCAAAAACAATGATATTCATAAATAAATAACTCAATCATAGCATGACTTTAGTATATCCACCGCCATCCCACAAAACATGTAAATACAACCCACAAACAAAATTAGAGTGACATTTTCATGTAACAGTATAATGTCATTCTTTTTCAAATGCTCCTTGTCACACATCATATTCTGTGACAGATCTTTTACAACTATACATGATCCAAAAATAAAATGATAATGATATTAAACTAATCCATTTATAACATGACTACAATATATCCACCGCCATCTCACAAAAACATCTCACTATAACCCACAAAAAAAATTAGAGTGACTTTTTCATGTATCAATTCAATGTCACTCTTTTTCAGGTGCTCCCTGTTGCACATCATATGCTATGACAAATCCTTTACAACTTTAAAGGATCCAAAAAAAAAATTGATAATCGTATTAAACCAACCCACACACAGTATGACTGCAACATATCCACAGTCATCCCACAAAACATCTCACTATAACCCACAATATAAATTAGAGTGACATTTTCATGCATCAGTACAATGTCACTCGTTTTCAGGTGTTTCCTGTCGCAAATCATATGCTGTGACAAATTCTTTACAATTTTAAATGATTCAAAAAAAATGATAATCATATTAAACTAACCCACACATAGCATGACTGCAATATATCCACAGCAATCTCAGAAAACAACTCATTACAACCCACAATATAAATTAGAGTGACATTTTCATGTAACAGTACAATATCACTCTATCCCAGCTGCTTCATGTAACACATCATATTGCAGTTGCAAATCATATAAAACAATAAATTACCCAAAAAAAATGATAATCATATTAAACTAGCCCACTCATAACATGACTGCAATATATTCACCGACATCCCACAAAACATCTCATTACAATCCACACAAAAAAAAAATTAGAGTGATATTTCCATGTAATAGTACAATGTCACTGTATCTCAAGTGCATCCTGTAACACATCATATTGGTGTTGCAAATCATATACAACATTAAAACGACCCATACAAAATGATAATCATATTAAACTAACCCACTAGTAACATGATTGCAATATATTCACCGTCATCCCACAAAACATCTCATTACAACCCACAAATAAATTAGAGTGACATTTCCATGTAACAGTACAATGTCACTGTATCTCAGGTGCTTCCTGTAACACATCATATTGATGTTGCAAATCATATACAACATTAAATGACCCAAAAAAAATGATAATCATATTAAACTAACCCACTAATAACATGACTGCAATATATATTCACCACTATCCCACAAAATATCTCATTACAACCCACAAAATAAATTAGAGTGACATTTTCATGTAACAGTACAATGTCACTCTATCTCAATTGCTACCTGTAACACATCATATACTATAGCAAATTATATACTACATTAACTGACCAAAAACACATGTCCACATATTATATTAATGCACTCATACAATGAGTGCAATATATCCACCACCACCCACAAAATTAACACAAAAAAAAACCCTAGTTATGAGCCAAAATTATCATGTCATGAACGTTTGGATCCTATGCCCACAAATACAGATGGCACACTCAATCAGTTTTGAACAAATCTGTTCTCAATGTCGTTCAGTTTATTGTATCCTTCTTCAGCCCAAGGAATTTTGTGGTTCAGGAACAATGTCACCATTTCTGCCCTGAATGCTCTCAATTGTGCAACAGTCCATTTTTCTTCTACTTATTCTCATTTTGTAAGTTTCTTCATTATGTGGCAAACAAACAAATCACAGTCAACACTGCATTGATAATGCAGTTAATATCATTACATTTGGTGGTTTCCAATAAAATATTATGAGAATTACATACGAGTTAGATTTTTTGTTGTGGACATTTGTCATATGATACGATGGGTAGCACCCTGTCTTGTGTGTCAAGGAGGGTGCCCATTGCAATTTGAATCTCCGAAATCTTTTTCTCCACATAATCTTTCTATTACATGCACAAACTTGTTAGTCATTGTAGGTTTTTGGAAAATATTGACAAAAAAAGGAAATGGAATTGTTGTTTACCAATATTTTTGCATCTTCGAGCCAAGGGTCGAGTACTCCTTTTTCCCTTGACTTGAAAGAGTTGTAGTGTGTCCAAATCCTATTTTTAATGTCTAACACAAGCAATGTGCAGTGGGAAGGAACACGAGAACCTTTTTGACTATTTGAGTTCATTGGAAATACTAGGAATTGAGATTCTTGTCCAACCAATAGATGGTCGTCTATTTCCAATTTTCGTGCATGTGCTAGATTATCAAAAATCACCATCGACTACAAATGTAAATATCAAAAAATTAATATATGATATTTAACATAAAACCAAACTATAGTTACTCATTATTATGGTCAAAATAACTTACCCAACAGAGACTGTTGAAGAAAAAATATCATCTCTTAAATGTGGAGGATTCATTGCTTTCATCCATCTCCCGCAACATATCAGCCCAAGAGTCTATAATCAAGATATGGTTTTTTAGTAAACTATAGACAAACAAACTTAAATGATATTCATAATGAAGTTGAATCATTCAATTTTAAAAAAAAATAGTGTAAATACACATCAAAACATCAAAAAATATACAGTGTTGTACAACTGATAGCCACCCATCAACTTAAGTGCATCTTCAACATCTAAATAACTATTGACACCTCTTCCGTGCCATAGTATAGTACTACAAAATAATAACGCATTTAATGCCTGACTCGGATTGGTTGTCTCACATGGCTCATTCTAATATGAAACATGTACTAAAGTTATATACCATTACTATATATTGTAACAATATAGTGTTACACTATTATCATATACAAATCCAAAAATATAATTTATTTTTTTGGGAATTTTTAATACTTACAAGTCACCTGTCGAGCCGTGGATTTGCTTCAATTTGTTGTATTCTTGGGGAGCCAATGCTTTGCAACCTTTCCACCACTTAGCAATTTCTCTCTTGTTTGTTTCTTGCAGTGTAGTGGTCTTCCCATTTGAGTCATCAATATTAATAATTTCACATTCATTTTGGTTGCTGAGTTTGACAATCCCTTTACTTTTCTCCAATTCATGCGATGTGACATCGTCTTTCTTTCCTCTTTTCCTTTTACTGTACTCATAATCTGCATCTCTGTTCCTCTTCCTCTCTTTTAATTTGATCCTTCTAACTATAGAATATTGCCCCACTTTTGATGATGTGTTTTGGACTTGTTGTATTTGATCATCACTCTCGGGTGTTATGCTTGGAGTATGCACTTGATTTGACAGATTATGGAACCGTTGAGTAATGGCATGCACAGATAACTCGTTGATTTGGTTGATCAATTCTCTATTCTTTGCTTCAAGTTGTGCCATTTTAGCCTTGACATCGTCATTTTCCTTTTTCATAACTTTCACAAGATTCTCCAACTCAAAAATTTGTATATCTTTCTCCATCAGTTTTATCACAAAATCTAGGATTTGTGTTTCCATGACAACATTATCTGTACATTCCTCCCTTTGATTTTTAGTTGTTTTGTTCCTTTCCATGCATTTGATCACCTTTTTCAACTCTTCATTTTCTGTTGTTAACACCCCAATCCTTTGTTTATTGATAGAATTTTCCTGTATTTGGTCTTGTAAAAAATTCATATCTTTATCACTCCATTTCATTATGTCTAGGTTGTTATCTAAAGAATTGGAATACCATATGCTTCAGCCCTCTCAAACTTGTTTTCACCGTCTTTTTGTGTGGTATCCAAGGTCACAACATCAAGCAATGCTTCAAAGGGCTCAAATTCTTTGTCATTATCCCCAATAATATCCATAATATCGTCATCAGCATCAAACAATGCTTCATCATAATTGAAAAGTATTCTGTTGTCAACTCATTCTTCTGAATTTTGTTTTTCCCCCATTGTTTCTTCCTCATTGGACTCCTCCAATTTTGTTGCTCCCATTTCTTCCTGAGTTCTAACCATCGGTTTTTGAAGCTGAAGTGATTTGAATAACCTTTTCTCTTCTTTGGATTTTTTCAATCATTTTTTCAAAACATATATGGGCAAATAAAATTCACTGTTTTATCGAGTAACATTAAAATATTGTCGTAGTTTGTTATCATTATAAATCAAAATAACAAATAACACCATTGTGACAAAAAAAAAACAATTTAAGCGTATGCATATTCATAATAATCAATTCTAATTATAACAAAACTTACATGCTTGATTTTTTGCATACTCCCTTGCTTGATAGCCCTTTGTAGACTTGGTAATTTCCATTTCAAGAATCTTGGAAATGCGTCTGGCTTCTTAGGTTTTAGCAGGGTTGTGTGCTCGCATAACTAGAACTACAAAATTTGCAAACTAAGGATCAGCAAATACTTTGTCATGTTTCCTAAACAAACAAGTTTGTAACAACAAACTTACAGGTATAAGGTAGACACATCCAATGACTGTTGATGGACTACTCTTTTTTTTTTCTCAAAGATGATATAAGTGCCGCATATATGGCTTGCGACCAATCAAAAGTCTTCATCTCATCCAAATCCTCCACATATGGGACATAACCCCATCCAAGTGTGTGCCCCATGTTTATGAAGAACAGAGTAACCATTAAGTACAAATATAATAGTCTTGCTACGTCATCGTAGTCTTCCTTTGTGTTCCCGTCTACTACTTCTTTCAGCTTGTTTTTAATCAATGGTGCCGACAACCTATTATCTCTATTGAACCTTCGTTGAACGAATGCAGTCGACTCCTTTCCATGGTTTGTTGCATTTATTGTCTCGCTTCCACATCAATTCCAAATATTAGAGTGACATCAATTTTTTCTCAATTTGAACCTCTCACCACCAATGTTGACTTTTGATGTTTCAGTGTCGAAACACAAAATTATAGGTATTATGTTGTTGTCACTCTTTCTGCACCATGATTTCTCAAAATTGTTCATTATGATACATTCAAAGATTAACCAAAAAGGTGTTTTCCGCAATGACTTCTTGTGTTTTTCATGCTAAACAATTTCATGTATTACCCGTATGATTGCAAGCATATTCGATCTGTACTGGGGGTCTAACGACTTTTCATTCACATTTGTTTCAACCTATATGATTGCTCCATTGCCAGGTGTACTAGATGTTGAACCATCCACTTGATTTTACAATATTCTCCTTCGTTTTAATTCAATTTTTTTGGATGTTGAAGAACGTATTTTTTCCATTTCCTGTGTTAACCAAGAATAATGTGATACTTTTGACAAAAAGTATGAAAGAATAAATTTGATTACTTGTTTATTATGTAACTGTATGTAATAGTGTTAAATTAGTTTTTAATATATACTATACCTACATGGACTATGTTTCACAACTTCACAAAGTCCATTGAATTTTCGACAAATTCAATGGACCCACCCATTAAACACCAAAGTTACAACATACATTGAACAAAAAAATTACAACATACTGTGACATCAAACTAATTTCACAAAAACATGTCAATACCCAAAAATATAGTGATATTTCAATGTGACATTACAATGTCACTCTATCTCAGGTGATTACGATAACATATATATGTTGTCAACGTCTGTAATAGTTACTCAAAATTATCAATTGATTCTCAATTACTTAAGTACATGTTGTAGCCCTATGGATTCTAAACAATATGTTGTCACTCCATATTGTAACTCTATGGAATAGAATTTACTCCATATTTGTAACTTCGTGTATTAAATCCTCAACAAATGAAATGTTCCAAAATATTGCATCATACTTGGTTAAGATTTTTCTTTTTCTTTTTTGGAGTGGGAGGGGGAATGGGGGTTTGAACCCTTGACCTCAAGAAGGTAAAACCTTCATAAGGTAAGGAATACCATTGGACCAAAGGCCCATTGATCATCATACTTGGTTAAGATTGATTTCGACAAATTCACAAAGTCCATACCAAAAAATAGAATGAAATTTCAATGTAACATTACAATGTCACTCTATCTCAGGTAATTACGGTAACATATAAATGTTGTCAACGTCTGTAAAAATTACTCCAAATTATCAATTGAATATAGAGTTAATCCAATAATTCGTCATATAAGAAAGACAAGTTTAAAATTAAATACATGTTGTAGCCCTATGGATTCTCAACAATAGGTTGTCACTACATATTGTAACTCCATGGATTAGAATTTACTCCATAGTTGCAACTCTGTGTATTACATCCTCAACAAATGCAATGTTCCAAAATATTGCATCATACTTGGTTAAGATGTGAATTCCGATGAAAAAAAAATAAGGTTTAACAAAAAATATAGGTTAGGGGTTTTCTGATTTGGGGCTTCATTATTTGACAATAAACAAAAAATCATATGAAATTATTGTATGTTATTATATTTTGAAAACACAATAAGAATAAGAAAATGTGATGCTTTTTGTTCAAAAAAATCCATAAAATACATAAAAATTTTGAGCTTCTAATATTTCATGTTAGGTTATATGTAAACAACTACATAAATAAAACTTTGGAAAACTTACTGGTTAATGATCGACTGCAAACAAGTGAAGCCGTAAAAACTCAGCGAGTTCCACCCTTTTATGCTTAAGTCAGAACTACTCACCGACGTCGGAAAAAATATCAAACTTGAAATCCTTCCTGTCACATTTTGGGTGTATGCAGAATTTTACCCACCAAAACCTTGAAGCCAGTAGTGCACCTTCACCTTCAAAACATTGGAATGAAAATAGAGTCAATGTCTATCTTTTCAAAATTCAAAAAATCAGCCGATTTTGGAAAAATCCCAGTAAAGAATGTGAAGAGTTTGGTGTTTAATGCTATGCAAGAAATTAGGGATTAACTTTATCGGTTTTAGAAAAAAAAAAAGATTTTGTTATTGACTTTTTGTTTTCAATTTTTTGTTTAATAAAATGGCTTTATCGTCTTTTCATATCCAAATGGACCTTTCCACAAAATGTTTTGCTTGCAGAACTTTTTCACCAAAACTTCTTATACATTGTACCGGCCCACAAAATTCCCAAAAAATTAACAGCAAAAAAAAAAAAACCTGAACTCAATTACTCTATTTTAACTCTCTCTCTCTCTCTCTCTCTCGGTAAACAAACACAAAAAGCAATCCTTTTTTCTTTTTCTCCCTCATTAAACTAAAACAAAAAAACACTCTTCTTTTCTCTCTCTCTGACTCTCTCACAATGCTCTCAACTCACAGTAACAAACTAATGGTGACTCGGTGAGATGGTCTCCATCCTCCATCAACGACTCGAGTTTCCATTGCAACATAAGGGACATGATTCAAAACCAAAAGCCAATATCTGAGATCATTCAAGGAACTATTGTTTCATAATTTTAAATTTTTGTGTTATTTGCTTTCTTTTTAGTTTCTGAAAAAAAAATTATGTCTTAAATTCAAGGTTGTGTCATATATTTTAACTATACTATATATTGTGTTTGTTTGTGTTCGTTTGGTTGTTATATAATTATAATATATTAATAATATGGATAAAAAGAAAAAAATATTAATAATATGGCAACTAGAAGACAAACAAGTGGACACGAAAAATTAAAAAAAAATGGACCAACTAATAGAATCTCAAAAAAGGATCTCTTGATAAATTTTTTACTAGTAACAAAAATAATATAACAAAAAAATTAGATGAAAAATTTTGAAAATTAACAATAAGATAATGAAATAGAAAAGAATAAAATAAAAAATATTGAAATAAAAGATAATGAAATATAAGATAAAATAAACTTTACAAACAAAATAAAATACTCCAATAAAGATACTAAAATATATAAAAAAGTTAGATTCTTTTTCAAATGTATGCATTGCTTATAGAATATTATTAACAATTCCTATAACAGTTGCTTCTACGGAAAGAAGCTTTTCAAAATTAAAATTGATAAAATCTTACTTAAGATCGACTATCACAAGATTATCTGGCTTAGCGATACTATCAATTGAAAAAGATATGGTAGCAAAACTTGAATATAAAAACTTAATTAATACTTTTGCAACTTAAAAAGCAAGAAAAATTAATTTTAAATAAAAAATATTAATACTTCATTTATAAGTATAGCTTTAGGCCCCAAATTATCTTGAGCCACCCCTGGAGATAATCTTGGAGGTGCATTTAACTACATTCTAAACAACTCTTCCAAAAATAAATTTTCGATTTCTATCCAATAATACAGTTTGTAGTTTTGGGTTGTCTTGTCTATGTACAACACATGTTTGTTTAGCCTTTCAATATAGGACTATACCCACTTTACTCAAGTTCTATGCCTGTTAAATGCGAACGAAAAGCTTCTAATTTCTCATCCTTGAGTGTAAATAGTTTCGAAAACCATCCACTTCTAGGTGATGTCTCTGCTCCACTACAGTAGTACTTTCATATATTTTTTCAGCTTTAGAATGAACCCTTCCACCGATTTAACATCAGGTGCAACCACGTTTTCCTAAAAGACCTAAGCAATTCAAACAAGAGGGGGGTAGGAGAGAGGAGGGCAAGGAAAAGAATGAATAATAAGAATTGAGAAAACACAAATTGGGTTAAAAGGCCCAAATATTGCAATGAGCGAAATTGTAAGCTTGATGTGATAACATTTTTTGATGTATAGAATCAAAAATTGTTATCCACCATTTGTTTCTAGCTCAACCTGATTTTTTTTGGCCTTTAAGAATTTGACATCTTCTAATAGAATTTGCTTCTATATTGTATCCAAAGTGGATTTCCTTAGCATAGCATAAAAAATTACTTTTGTTCTTTAACTTGTCTAAGGGCTTGATCCATTTTTCATTCAAGCTATTGTTGATTAGACACATGCTCAATGATTACAATCTTGT